TTTTTCCTTAGCGAAAATGTTGTCCGAGGCTTCGTTGAGGAGATATTAACAGAAAACCCTCGACCAATCAGAGCGCGAGGATGACGATGGAGGGCGGTCGTCTAGCGCGTAGCCTACGTCTACCGCGCTCTGATTGGTCGACGTTTTCTGTTAATATCTCCTCAACGAAGCTTTGTACAACATTTTCGCTATGGAAAAAGTTGTTTCAAATCACCTCCACTCTGTATATACAGGGTGTCCCAAAAATGTTGTAACACCTTGAACGGAGTGGTTCGGGAGGTGATTTGAAACAACTTTTTCCTTAGCGAAAATGTTGTCCGAGGCTTCGTCGAGGAGATATTAACAGAAAACCCTCGACCAATCAGAGCGCGAGGATGACGATGGAGGGCGGTCGTCTAGCGCGTAGCCTACGTCTACCGCGTAGCCCACGCCTACCGCGCCGTTCAACCGGCATCCTCGCGCTCTGATTGGTCCGGGGTTTTCTGTTAATATCTCCTTAACGAAGCTTCGGACAACATTTTCGCTAAGGAAAAAGTTGTTTCAAATCACCTTCCGAACCCCTTTAAAGGTGTTACAACATTTTTGGGACATACTGTATACCATTTTGGCATTTTTGAAATAATTTTTTTTGATAATTATTTGAAATAAATGTGGAATTGTTTTTCAAAATCAGGAAAGCACATTCATAGCAAACAATTTCACGTTTATTGTTCAAACTCGAGAAGAAATAAATTTATTGACTCTTTTGCGAGATTATACAATATTAAATGAACTGATATTTTCTAATAGCTATCTGAAATAATGTTCCGAATTAAATGATTTCAAACAGCCATTTCAGATTTTCACTCCAATTGAAATGCATAAACAACCCCATTCTATCTATAAAATAGCTACTATATTAAATGCCTTGGTATTATTTATTTATGAAATAACTGCATTGAAAATAACGCTCCGAGTCAAATTACTTCAAACAGCCATTTCTTATTTGCGCTTGAAATTTAATTTAATTTAATTTAATTTATTTAATTTGAGCAGTTACAATGTTGAAAAATAATATTTTTTTTTTAGGTATATGGCCGAATACGATAGAGTTTTACAATCGCCGGCTGGAAGAAACGCGTTAGCAAAATACAGCGGTCTCATGCGACAGTTAACAGAGTGGACCGGAAAGAACATAACTACGCCATTGAACATGTACTATCTCTATCATACGCTAATGGCTGAACGTTCTCTCGGTCTCGCTTTACCAAAATGGACGGAGGGCATATTTCCTTATGGCAGACTGTGGAACGCAACTGTATTCGCCTACGACATTGCCAATTCCACGCCTTTGCTGAGAAGGCTCTACTCAGGTAAGACAGTATCGTTACATTTCTCCTTATCAATCATTATTCTTAACAATCTTTAACATTTTTGGCTCGATGATGCTTTCAATAGGGCGAACTGGCAACTTTAGACGATTTTGAGAAATTTCTTGTACTTAGCAAAGTTGAAATGATATTGAGTAGAAATTATTGAATGAAAATATTATATTTTAAAATTCTATGTATAAGTGTAATTATAATATATGTATTATATACGCGTGTATATACAAGGTGTCCCAAAAATGTCGGAGGGCATTGAAAGGGGTGGTCCGGGAGGTGATTTGAAACAACTTTTTCCATTGCGAAAATGTTGTCCGAAGCTTCGTTAAGGAGATATTAGCAGAAAACCCCGGACCAATCAGAGCCCGAGGTGCCGGCGGAGGGCGGTCGCCTAGCGTGTTGCCCACGCCTACCGCGAGCGCTCCACTGGCATCCTCGCGCTCTGATTGGTCCGGCGTTTTCTACTAATAACTCCTTAACGAAGCCTCGGACAACATTTTCGCTAAGGAAAAAGTTGTTTCAAATCACCTCCACTCTCTATATACAGGGTGTCCCAAAAATGTTGTAACATGTTGAAAGGGATTGTTCGGGAGGTGATTTGAAACAACTTTTTCCTTAGCGAAAATATTGTCTGAAGCTTCGTTAAGGAGATATTAACAGAAAACCCCGGACCAATCAGAGCGCGAGTAGGCCGCGGTAGGCGTGGGCTACGCGCTAGGCGACCGCCCCCTCCGCCCGCATCCCCGCGCTCTGATTGGCCCGGCGTTTTCTCTTAATAACTCCTTAACGAAGCCTCGGACAACATTTCCGCAAAGGAAAAAGTTGTTTCAAATCACCTCCCAAACCCCTTTCAAGGACCTCCAACAATTTTGGGACACCCTATATACTTAATGCACTACGAATTGAGTCTTCGAAACAAAAAATTGTTAAATGTAAATGTGATTTTCTTCTCAGTTAATATTCATGCTTCTAAATATGTATCCTCAGTTCCCATGACCTCTTTTGTCTAATTAACGTTTCAGGACCCTATCTTCGACTGGTCACGAAGACTATGCTAAACTACATAACCGGAACGTTAAACGATCCACGAAAGATATACCTATACAGTGGCCACGAAACCAACATCGCCGCCGTCTTGCATGGTCTTCAGGTCTATCGTCCTCATGTCCCTGAATACTCTAGTGCTGTGATATTAGAACTCCACCAAACGAACGACAACTACTATGTCAAAGTGAGTAAATAGTTATATCAACTCTCAGTCTTTTTTCTATTTTATTTGTAATTATTAGTTTTCAATAATTAAGGTTAAGTATTGGAAATTCATATTTTACCATCCGTTTAGGACTCGTATTTCGTTATATTGTAAATCGGTAACGACAAAGTATATTAATTAATATACTATGTATAATATAGTAGTATATAGTTACTATATCATCAAGTAAATAATACAACTCCATCTTTCACATCTAATGTTGAATATTTTAAAAAGAGAATTTTTTAGAAATATATATTTATAAACACGCTATCTAATATATTAGTTCATACTAAATATATTGTAAAATGCATCTTTTACTTGCAGTCTTGAATATTTTTTTAAAAGAAACATGGGTATCCAAGAACGTGTATTTAAGAATTCCTATCTATTATACAGGATGTCCCAAGAATTTTGGAGGTCCTTGAAAAGAATGATTCGGGAGGTGATTTGAAACACTTTTTTCCTTAGCGAAAATGTTGCCCGAGGCTTCGTTAAGGAGATATCAACGAAAAACCCCGGACCAATCAGAGCGCGAGTATGCCGGAGGACCGCCCGCGGTAGGCGTAGGCCACGCGCTAGGCGCCCGCCCTTCGGCATCCTCGCGCTCCGATTGGTCCGGCGTTTTCTCCTAATATCTCCTTAACCAAGCCTCGGACAACATTTTCGCCAAGGAAAAAGATATTTCAAATCACCTCCCGAACCCCGTTCAAGGACCTCCAACATTTTTAGGACACCCTGTATACTTAATATACTACGAACTGAATCTTCCACTTCTAGTATCGTATACTCCCAAAATTATTATTAGAGAACGTGCAATAAAGAAAAACCTTACACCATAAAAATCAATTTACATTTCAAACCAGAAATGGTTTCAATATCGAATATTCGTTTCATTTGTTTGCGTTTATGTTAACAGCTCGCTCACTATTTGGGCATCCCGTCGAAAATAGAGGAACTCACACTGCCCGGTTGCGACGCCATGTGTCCACTGGCCAAGTATTTGCAATTAACCGAGGAAGTCATGCCGTCTAAGGAGGAATTGATTTGCGACAAGAGGGACACGGAAGATTACGCCAATGTGAAATCTGACGAGGAAGTAGATTGGGCGAAGTATAACTTGATAAGGACAGCGAGAGCCTTTAACATTCAATAATAAAATTGAACTAACTGAATAAACGTTCATTTCGTCGAACCAAAGAAGTCCTTGATACGTTGACCATCACGTCACTTATATACAGGATGTCCCAAAAATGTTGAAGGTCCTTGAAAGGACTGATTCGGGAGGTGATTTGAAACAACTTTTTCCTTTGCGAAAATGTTGTCCGATGCCTTGTTAAGGAGATATTAAGAGAAAACCCTGGACCAATCAGAGCGCGAGGATGGTAGTGGAGCGCCCGCGATAGGTGTAAGCTACGCGCTAGGCGTAAGCTCCGCGCTAGGCGACCGCCTTCCACTGGCATCCTCGCGCTCCGATTGGTCCGGGGTTTTCTCTTAATATCTCCACAACGAAGCTTCGTACAACATTTTCGCTAAGGAAAAAGTTGTTCCAAATCACCTCCCGAACCACCCCGTTCAAAAACCTCCAACATTTTTTGGACACCCTGTATAGGTGACAGACATTAGAATTCAACACAATTTATTTTGAAGATGAGGTGTTGAAATAAATAAATCTGGATAAGATCCGTGAATTTTGATAACGTCTCAATAATAAGTACTATGACAAATTTTGATTATACAAATTCCAATTATCTCAAAATTAAATTTTAGTTTCATACAAATATTCCTGAAAGTTAATGTGATAGCCAACGTGTTAATTTAAATCAATATTCCTGATTGCATGTTAGTAGTTTTACAGAGCATTAGACGTGAGGAATGGCGTTCGTGTTTCAGTATTTATTTATCAAATTTTATGTATAGAGACGTACGTGAATTAATTTTCCTACGTAAATTGGCACACTTCGACGTAACACGATTATTTATATTTCTTCATTGTCTCTTTAATAGAGAAATGGAAATGTGCATTTATGTAATTATGCATGTAATTATGTATAATTGTAATATTTAGAATTTAAATTGTTAAGGACGCGTTGAATAATGATTGTTTTGTACTTACTGGCCCGCAGTACTTAACGTGTTGTTGATTCAATCGTTTATTTATTTTCTAACCACAAACAGTGACTAACATATTCTTAATCGAAGAACTCAAAGCTACCTCTACTTTAAAACTATGTATACCTACTATTTGTATATGTGAAATAAATTTATATAAATTAATTACAATCTCTCGAAAATGATAACAGGCTCACCTATAAAATTAAGTATGTACTAGTACATTATCATAAGGAGTTAATTAATAAGTCTATGAGCTGGTAAGTATCTCGAAAAAATAAACTCAGCAATAGTAACAAACTATTCGTATACAAATATAATATGTAATAAAACTAAGCTGGGGTTATGGAATAAAAAAAAAACATACAGAAATAAAAATTTGGAGAAAAAGATCATATGAAATATAATATGTATTGATCGAAATTATAGTTTCTTTTCTTTTTAAATCTCAATATGAAATTTCAAATGAAATGATTTTCATAAGTGAAACTAATAGCTACATAATAAAAAAAGTTCTTTAGAAGTAGAAATAAAAATATGAATGGAGAAAATAGTGATATAAATAGTGATATAAAAAATGTTAACGGAGTACAATACATATTCTTTCAGATATATTATAAAATCAGAATCAATTTTGAAGGTAGGACACACAGAGTAATGTTATAATGTTCAGAAACGTAAATAAATTGTATTCTAACTCTTCTTATTGGAATTTTGTTAAATAAGTTAATTTAAACTTGATTTGGTACTTCGTATTGAGACTTCGTTATTTATTACGTTTCTGAGTTATAATGGTCAATTTAAAATTAAAAAAAAAAATTGGACATTAATTCTGATCGATTAACATTTAATATGATTCTTTTGTATAATCATCTCTTAAAGTGTCAAAAATTGGTGATTTATCCTACACACTGATTAATTATTAATTATTTAGTGAACATTTAATTAATTAATTATAAGTGAAAATTTGTTGTCGCATATCGCATCTTTATACATAAAAAAAAAATTTTTTACTAGCTATTTTTTTTCTAGCTAAGAAAAATGTATGTTTGCAATTGATTTGTCGTATGTTTTTTCGTTGATTCGTATAGAACTGATTTATCTAACTTTTCTAACGCATTACAAGTGCTACGAAATCGTTGAATGGTGCACGACTGGTTTCTCCGAGATTGCAACGTGATACAGTTAGCCTCGTGTTACATTCAACTAATGTCTTTAGCTTATCGCTACCTATGGCATTTTTGGGTCGACCATTCGGCTCGTTTCATCACGTCAAAATTTGTCGAACGGAACGTCGTATTATCATCCACTCCGTAGACTCATCTCGATCGTGATATCAGTGATGTAAGTTGTATTTCTTATATTACGTTTAAGTTTGAATTAATGCATCAATCTAATCTATCGTCATCGTAAGTCACAAAAGCGTATCGTGTTCTTTATTATCAAAATTCGGACAAATGGAAATATGATTCATGTGTTCTGTAATGAAACAAACGTATCCTAATCGTATCCTAAAAAGGATAATAAAAGATATTGAAGTGTTAGTGAAGTTAAATTTATTTGGAAAATCAAAGAAAAATCTAAAGAAAAGCCCTCTGAATGCATACCACTATATATATCCTAAAATCCTAATGAAGGATATTGAAGTGTTAGTGACGTTAAATTTATTTGAAAAATCCAATGAAAATTTAAAGGAAAGCTATCTTAATGAATATCACTATATTTTTGATATTTAAGCGTGCTAGCGTATTGTTAGGAATAGTGAAGGTGCAATTCGATCGATCAATAAGTGGTTAGCGTTTTATTCTATTTATTTTAAAGAGAGATTCAAAGAAATAAAAAGTGCACAAATAATCGGGAGTCATTGCCTTTCAAAATACAGGGTGTCCCAAAAATGTTGGAGATCCTTGAAAGGGAAGGTTTAGAGGGTGATTTGAAACAACTTTTTCCTTAGCGAAAATGTTGTCCGAGGCTTCGTTGAGGAGATACTAACGGAAAATCCTGGACCAATCAGAGCGCGAGGATGCCAGAGGAACCCCGCGGTAGGCGTATGCCACGCGCTAGGCGACCGCCCTCCGCCAGCACACTCGCGCTCTGATTGGTCCGTGGTTTTTTGTTAATATGTCCTTAACGAAGCCTCCGACAACATTTTCGCTACAGAAAAAGTTGTTTCAAATCACCTCCACTCTGTATATACACGGTGTCCCAAAAATGTTGTAACAAGTTGAAAGAGGTGGTTCGGGAGGTGATTTAAAACACTTTTTTCCTTAGCGGAAATGTCGTCCGAAGCTTCGTTAAGGAGATATTAACAGAAAACTCCGGACCAATCAGAGGACGCGAATACCGTTGGAGCGCTCTGATTGGTCCGGCGTTTTCTGTTAATATCTCCTTAACGAAGCCTCCGACAACATTTTCGCTAAGGAAAAAGTTGTTTCAAATCACCTCCACTCTCTATATACAGGGTGTCCCAAAAATGTTGTAACACCTTGAAAGGGATGGTTCGGGAGGTGATTTGAAACAACTTTTTCCTTAGCGAAAATATCGTCTGAAGCTTCGTTAAGGAGATATTAACAGAAAACCCCGGACCAATCAGAGCGCGAGTAGGCCGCGGTAGGCGTGGACTACGCGCTAGGCGACCGCCCTCCGCCCGCATCCCCGCGCTCTGATTGGTCCGGCGTTTTCTCTCAATAACTCCTCAACGAAGCCTCGGACAACATTTCCGCAAAGGAAAAAGTTGTTTCAAATCACTCCCCGAACCACCCCTTTCAAGGCCTTCCACCATTTTTAAGTCAATGGAAAATTTTAAGTTCATGAGAATATTTCCCTTACGAAAATAATCAACTTTTGTTCGAAACATTTTTCGTAAACTCCTATATATTCCCATAAATTCTACTGAGGAATTAAAAATGGTCCACCCTGTATATTGCGGCTAGTAACAATAGGTAATAACTATTGTCACCCTACATTAGCATATGTTACCGTAGAAAATTCTTTTTTAAATTAAAGACTGTTTCTAAATAACCCAGTAGATAAACTGTTAATCTTAATACTCGTTCAAAAACGTGAACTCTACTAGAAACTGATCGAACATAAAAGTGCGTCCACTTAACGATTGAAATCCGCTGATAAATTAAATTAACAAAAGCAACATTTAATTACATATACACCGGTTCACGGGAGACTCTCGTCAAGTGCAACAACCTGATAGAAATCAGAAATCGTGATACGAGTTCATTGTTTGCGGTCAGAGAGATTGCGTCACGCGATTTATGTATCATCGCATCGAAAAGCCACGTCTGGTTTTCCTCGTCCGTGAACGCGGGTAAACGCGTCACTGTCTGAAAATGACCAACGTGTCAGGCGTTGAGAAAGAACTCCTACATTAATCTTCCCCGTTTATGCAAATTGACCGATCCGGACCGATCGTTTCTTTTTTTCTCTTCTTTGTTCAATTTCGTTACGCTCGTGCGCGTGATACTCGCAATCTGCCTTCTTCAATGATACGCTCGTTTATATTTTAGTTGCACACTTGGTACTGTGTATTCTAAGGCACCGAGGTTGTTTATACAATTTTATTTATAAGTGAAAATATTTATTTTCTATTTTCAGTCGAAAAGTAGATTTATTTTGTTGATATTGTTATTGCTACAGAGGCTATTGTAGTACAATCGCGAGAAAAATAGATTCTCTTCTTTAAGAATTTTTATTTCATGTTACAAATAATTATGGAGTATCAGTGTTTATATGGTCGGAGGTTATTGTCGTATGCTTGCAAGAAAAATAGATTTTTTTCTTTGAGAATTTTTATTTCATGTTATAAATAATTATGGAGTGTCAATGTTTATATGGTTAATAATAAATATGTTAAGGTAGGAAGTAAAATATTTTTGTTTATTTTTAATAATTTTTTTTTTATTGATGCAGTGTAATTTTACCTTTTTTTACCATAGCTCATATAATATTGGCTATATCAATAATAAAAATGATTGAAAATTAGCTAAAAATATTTTATTTATTATTTTAACTTGTCTGCTATTGCGTATAAAAACATTGTCATTCTACAGTTATTGGTTATGTGCGATAAAAATTCTTGAAAGAAATTTTATTTTCTTGAGAGCGTTCGATAATAACCGTTTAACGCGTTTAAAACGTTTCTGTTACAATAATTATATTAAAAATAATATACCGTATATATATTTAATTAATATGAATAATTATGTTTAAAAAATTTCAAAATCGCCAAAGTTAGAATCGTTCATATCGCTGATCGTCCCATTAGGCTGATTATAAAACGATACTTCAAGGTATTTATATTTTTATATCTGTAAATCTTTGTTTATATTATTTTTTTTTGAGATCTTCAATACACTTCTACCAAATTAAATTAAAAAAAATTTTCAAATCCAAAGTTATAGTATCCGATTTAGTTGGCCTGGTTTAGTGCGAAACGTCGAGGATTTTAAATAATTAATAAATTATGAAAAATAATAAAGAAATGAATTAATTAATAAACGTCTACCAAATTAGATTTAAAAAATTTCAAAACTCAAAGTTACAGTCAAAGTTATCTTTCAACTAAATTAGTTACCTTTGTTTAGTGTCAAACGTAAAGGATTTTAAATAATTAATAAACTATAAAAAATAACAAATAAATAAACGAATTGATAAATTTCTACCAAATTAAATTTAAAAAATTTCAAAATTGTCAAAGTTTTGTAGCTCAACTAAATTAGACAGCTTGGTTTGGTGCCAAACGTCGGGGATTTTAAATAATTAATAAACAAATTGAGCAGAACAGTTGCAAATTGAACAGAGCTTCGTACATACTCAACAGAATTCAGATTTCAAGAACGAATTAGTCTAATTCGTGACTCTTTCGTCAGCTATTGATTAACCATCCAGGAAGATGAGTCAACAGGACTCATCGACTCTTTCGTGAATGGAGACGTATGCTTGGTTATGAATTCGAATATAAGAAGATCGCGAGAACGGTGCAAGCATTATTCGTCGTAAGTCGGCATTTTAGTGCAACGATTGTGAAACATATGTTGCGAGATGCTAGTAAGAGGTACGTGGTTTATTTAACGAACAAAGTGTATCAAATTAATAAATATATTAATTAAACGTAATATGTATATTAGATAAATTGTATAAAAGAATTAAATAAAAAAAATGTATTTTAACATTTGTAAAATTAGTTTCATTATTACGACGAAGTACTTGAAATACTGTTTTAATAAAATAATTTAATAATAAATTAATAACACAACTATTTGCAAATTTCAACTATAATTGATTTTTCTTTTTTTTTATATAAAAGCTTCGTTACAAACGTGATTTACTAAAAAATTTCAAGGAATAGAATTTTTATTAGTTTCATGTACGTTATTTTGTTGAATTTTTGTTTTCAATCGTTATTGATTGTTGATATGTGAAGACAACCAGTGCAATGGTCGAGAAGGTTTGTATATAATGGAGCTATTATAAAAATTAATGAGAATCACTTTGCTTTGTTATAGTAGGTGGAATTTATTAAAAATATTCACGAGTCTATATTATGTGTTTATTTGATTTTCTAATTACTATCGACACGAAAACGAAACAGTAACTATTGTATCAAGGTAATTTGAAAAATCTTTTTCTGCGGAAACAACTCGATAATTATATTTTTTTTTAAATAGTATATATATGTACGAAATCTAATAAATAAAATAATACAACCAATTATATAAACAGAAGCTGCCCGAATAAAAAAACGCAATTTAATATAACAAACGTGACAAAATTTAATTTCTACCAAATGCAATAATACTGTTGTTTGTCGATTTCCAAAAACATTAACAGTCATTACAAATGAAAAGCGTCCATAGATCAAACTTGGGACCTCCTTGAATGAAAAATGATTTAAAATGAACTTTTTTATTATTCCAACGCTTCGTCCAATGTCACGAAAGCATTAATAAAGATAAGAGTAACCTATGACTACTTTACGTCGTTTTTTAATGTCTGTTCGTGACGAGTCGCGATGTATACTAATAGTCGGGTGCATGATTCTGTGACATACAATACTATGTACACTTCTAAAAACAAAGGAACACATTTTGCAGGTGCATCTTTTCAGTTGGATCGTAATTTTCTAACATTGTGCTTCGCTTATCATTTTCTATTCAATAATTTACAATCGAATAGATTTTATATTGCATTCAAGAGATCATAGAAATTGTACCAAAGAAATTTATGAATCAGGATATCCAAATTTAGACAAATAAATAATTTGAGTCGATGTAATTGACGTGAGTGTAAACTCTTTATAATGATTACACTATTTCTGAATATTCGGTTTCGTTAATTTCGGTTTTTTATTACTGTGCAATATTATGATGTTGATAAGCTAATCGCTTTCATGATAACTTGATATCTACGTACATAACGTTGAGTGGTGTGATTTCATTTGGTTATCAATCGGTACTTGAAATCACAGTCTCGTGATTAGTTAAATAGTTCAGTTTTGTTAGTGACGAATCAAGAAAAATGTGATGCATATTTGTTATGGTGGTTCGTATGCAGGGTGCTCCAAAAAAATTGGAGGTCCTTCAATGAGGTGATTCGGGAAGTGATTTGAAACAACTTTTTACTTAGCGAAAATGTTGGGCGACGCTTCGTTACGAAAATATTACGAGAAAACTCCGGACCAATCAGAGGGCGAGGATGACGGTGGAGGGCGGTCGCCTAGCGCGTGGCCTACGCCTACCGCGGGCGGTCCGCCGTCATACTCGCACTCCGATTGGTCCGGGGTTTTCTCTTAATATCTCCTTAACGAAGCCTCGAACAACATTTTCGCTAAGGAAAAAGTTGTTTCAAATCACCTCCACTCTCTATATACAGGGTGTCCCAAAAATGTTGCAACACCTTGTAAGAGGTGGTTCGGGAGGTGATTTGAAACAACTTTTTCCTTAGCGAAAATGTTGTACGAGGCTTCGTTATGGAGATATTAGGAAAAAGACCCGGACCAATCAGAATGCGCGAATACCGTTAGAGCGCTCTGATTGGTT